CAGACTTGCTATCTGGGTATTATACTATCTTGTCTGGGAAGAGCTTCAAGTGGCTGCCAGTTTATCAAGTCATTCAGACGGACAGGTATTTCCTTCTCTTCCTCCAATATCAGAATTCCTCATGTTTCTCTCTTGTTTTTCCAAGACAAAAAAAAACCCTGCATTTGCCCAAGACAGGACCTCACACGGGGTACCTTTGGTCACAGAACAGTGACAGATTTTCCATTAATCACGTAATTTTTCTGTAGCTGTGCAAGGCTAGATAGGGGAGATCCCTGCGCTTGAAGAGGGAAATTCTTATCCCATGGCTGAAAAGGTGTGAGGTGCTGAACATTGATTTGAGTTTGTTTTAGGCGGGTTACAATTGCTACGTCATGTTCGTAAAGCTTTCGTGGCTCACTTCATTTTACTTTGTATAACTGGCCTCACTGGGAACCAGGAAGAACCATGGGGCACTGTGGTTATTACATCACACAATGTAGTTTAGACACCTAATGTACAGTTCTAATTGCCTCCTCCTGGCAATTAGTCATCTGTCTCCAGAAAGCCTTTGATTTGCACCTAGGTCAGATGCCTAAAGTAGTCAGTGTGAATAACCTATCTTGTGAGGGTCAATGGGAATCTAAAGGAAACAGAAAGCCAAAAACAATTGCTGAAGCATTTGTCAAAACTACTTCTATAACAGCTTGTGTATGTAGAATACCGGCCAGAAGGGTCTAGCATGAGGGATCCACTGGTTCTCATCTGGAGTGAGCCATGAAAGTAGCTAGTGGCCTCACTCCCCGTATGGCATATATATCTCCCAAATTCATCCTAGTGGTAATGTTAGAGATCATGTTTATCCTACTTCAGTGTCAAGAGTCTATAGCATATAGCATCTCCCGGTCCCTCTGTAAGTTGCCTGAACAGTGATGGCGTAATAGTAGGTCAAAAAATCAACCAGACAAGACTACTTCACCAAGTGTTACCAACTAAGTAAGCCCTAGTCAAGTCTATGGTGTAGCCTTACTAGGAGAATATGTTCCCTTCTGTTTTCAGTCCTCTATCTGGGAACTAGAAGCTGTTCTGATCCCAGAGAGAACACCTGAAATCTCTGCCTGAAAGTTCAGTCTGACTCAAATTCCAGTAATAATTACTTTCTGCCGTAGGGAAGTTGAGTTGGGGAAAGTTTGGTTTGGGTGAAATTGTCCCACAGTTGGTCTTAGTTTCAGGGTGAAGGGCACAGGGGAGACTTGTCAGTGCTCTGCAGAGCTGGAAGGAAAGTGGGAGGAAACTGCACACAATCTTGTATCCACTTTCAATATCAAAACTGAAGATCTGATGATTTCAGATCAGCCTCAATCTGTGAGTTAGTGGGGACTCTTATCAAGTAAAAAATCTCCCTGATGCAACCATAGTTACTAGATTTAATGTTAAAATGCTACTTATTGTTCTTTAAAAATATTATCTACAGAAAAGTTGATCTTCCATGGAAATTGGTTTAACTGGAGCCAAGATTTTGCTCCAGATGTATGTATGTTCTGAGATGATAAATCTGCAATTGAACATGGTTAATATTTTTATTTTTTCCACAACATGTATAAAAGTTGTGCCTGGAATAGATTTACCAAGTATCCTTTCAGTATCCTGCCTCTTCCCATTCAAGCAGTGTAAAGCGCCCTTCAAGCTCCGTGGGAACGCTACACTGCTGTGAGCTGCTCCATGCTCCCATGACTTTATGCAGCCCAGCTGGCAGTCCTATGCTAATACTACTTCTATCAGACCAACACAGCAAAGCACCCTATTTTTCAGTTTAAACCCAGTGAAAGACGGAAGAGCTTTGATGGAATTAGGTAAGACCTTCAGGCTAAGAAAAAGGTAACTGAATTCAGAGGCTCCCTTTACAGTGGCAATACATTCATCCACCAGTCCGCTGGTAACCTGCACTCTGATCTGACTTAACTTTGGAACATTGCAACCAAATTAAAAGATTGCTTGATAGCTACATAGAAGGTACAGACTTCTGAGATTTGATCCCATTTGTGCCTTCCCTCTCAAGCCACCTTTTCATCTTCTGTTCTCTGCTTCTGCTGACAACACGACTAAATGTCCTATCACTGTAAAGTCACCCTTTAGTACTTTGTCTTCTCTGAAAACTTGCAAATTGTTCTTTGTATTTTTTCTCAGTCGTTACTAGAGTTCATTCTCTTTTTTACCATGCTCACCTGTGTACATATTATATGTCTTGACTAATGAAGCCATTGATCCCTTTTCTGCTCCCCCAAGCCCACAGCAGAGTAGGAGGCTAATTGGTGGAAAAAGGAAGGGCCAAATGGTTGTTGTTTGCCTCTTTACCAGAGCCAGGATGTCCAGTTATGAACCACTAAGCAACTAAAATAGAGCACAGAAATTCCAAGAGATCTGACTGCATCTAAGTAAAGGCCAAAGTTTCTTGCCCAGAGGGGTGCAACTCTCCAGACCTTTATCTCTGTGATCTGCACATCTTATTTTAGGACAGTAGTTGCTGCTTCTTTACTCTCTGCATTTGGACTGCCTGAAAGAAAGAGGAGTTTGATTTATAAAGACTTCAAAATCCTCTCCTTTCCCAACATGCTTTACTAAGACTGACGGTCAAGGCTTCCCTCCCTCTTTTGTTACCAACCTCAGTAAGTCCTAGGTGGCTACTAGCTCACCTTCTGTAAAATGAGCCAGTCTTGCACCCAGCTCTACTCTCTGAGATAAGAATAACAAGCCTCCCACCATCTGCTTTTGGGCTTTTTCCCTCTCCCCTACCCACTGTGCTAGCATAGCAAGCTCTATTCTGAATGGCTTTTACTTCTGACCGGAGTAAAACAAACAGAACTTTGTTCTTATTTATAAATGCTGTCCTTGTTTTTAGTAACAACTTAAATTGTCATCCACCATACTCCACTGCAGGTATTTAAAATGCTTACATTATTTTCCTTAGATGATAGACAGCCTCTTTTTGAATCTCAAGTTGGTGACTTGATCTTTAATTTCATTTTAAATTGAGACTTTCTCTGCTTCACAGCACTGTTATGAGCAGCTCATAGCATCCTGCTCCAAATAAATCTTCAATCTTTTGTCAAGTTTTTACCACCATGTTCTTCAGAAATACAGCTTAGTTGATGAAACAGTGCACTTACAGTCATATCACACTAGTATTATAATCCCAAATGGAAGGAGGCCTGTGCTTGGCCTGACATGTTAATGACTGGAAAAAATAAGTTGCATTGTAACGGCAAGGTGTAGCAGAAACTGGTGGAACAGCACAGGAAGAAACACAGTAAATTCATCATTGCTTGAAGTCTTTCAGTTGAGCTTGGATGTCTGTCTAAAAACTCTGCTGAAGTTTAATTGCTCACAACTGGCTTTGATAATGTTCACATATATAGCAGAAATAATTGTGTGCTGTGCAGGAGTAACTTCTGCACTGCAAAAAATTCCTGATGAGGTGAAAATTCTCAGGCCTGTTTTTTGTAGAGAAAGTGATTATAGATGAGTGTGTGGGTGTCTCCTAGGCTTCAACCATTATGGCAAAGATGCTGTAAAATATCAATAAAGGGGCTTTATAGAACTGATGGCTCACTGATGATCACTAGATCTGATCCACAAATTGCATTAAGCTAATGATACGGTGTATACTTTCTGACCTGATGTAATACTCTGAGTGTAGATGTGCCTAGGTCAGAGTGTCCGCTCAGGTCAGGTACACTGGTACAGGTCTGAATCTTCCATTGCTGGCCATGCACTATCTATCTCACTGTAAATCTGAGCATATTTTGGCCCACTGTATTCAATGCGTACAGCTATAGACTGCAGAATTCAGAAACATGTATAACCAAGGATATTTTGGGGATTAACCAAATGTCCATTTTTTGTAACAAAAATAGGCTTAAAAAAAGAATGAATTGTGTTGGGAAGAAAGAGGCATGTCTATCTCTGCCATGCATCACTCAAGCTATTTACAAATAGATATTTTGGACATGCCTATAATGCAAGATGTACAAGCATTTCTGTGAAAGAAGTGGTAAGTGGCAATAGATGCATGTGTAGGAAGCCTCTGCTTAAAATATAGTAATGATCTAAAGAACATTCCCTTTTTTTACCACTCAGTCAGAACTTCACCTCCACAGACCTCTTTGGAGGGAATATGCACACCTACAAGTGTAGCACAGTAGCCAGTGGATTTTATTCGGAATAAGATAAGCAAATCTTCATAATGGCTTTATTTCAGTTAGCAGCAGGGAACCGAAAAACATGGAGACATCAGGCTTCTGCATGGCTGGGAGCTACAAAAAAAAATCTATAACTGAGATTAAAATGACAAAAGAAAGGTGGTGCTACTTTCCTTGCTAATGATACCAAGACAAGTAGAATGAAGTAAGCTGAGCAAACTAAGTAGCGTGGCCTGTTGCACAGTTAGCTATTTGTTTTTCTGTGGCTGCTATTGCATCCTCGTGATATCTGCTTCTCTCATAATTGAAGACTATAGGCTATTTATTTTGCAATGCACAAACATCATCTCTATCATTCTTTCCTCAATAGCTGAGTCCAAAACATGTCACTGATGTCCTGGCAGAGGGGAAATACTTTTGGCATGTGGCTAGCTCACTCATTCTGTTAGTCAGGATTTTATATTCTGACTCCTGACATTTGCTGCTTTGCCATACTTGAACAGAGCGTACTTGTTGGAACAGGTAGGAAGAGTTGCTCCTTTCCTTTATGCTCTTTGCTGATCTGTTTTTCTATTTTTCCATGGTGACAGCAAGAAGAAATTGAAGCCAGGTGTAGAAAATATGGCTAATATGCTGGGAAACAGCTGTTGCGGAAAAAATCATATACAGTGACAACATCTGGGTAGTGTACGAGGGTATGGCAGCAAAGTGGCAATGAAAAAGCTTGAAAGGGGCTTCTGTACAGTCAAGAGAAACACCCTGGAAGTCCACTGTGCGTGCTCTCGGTTTGCATTTTTCACCAAAAGCAACGCTGAGTCGGAACAGAGCTGCTTCATCTCAAAGCTCGAGTAAATGAATAAATGCACAGCTTGCAAAGCTGGCAGCTTCATGAATGGGAGGACAGCCGGAGGGTGAGGGACTGAATGAGTGCCCAGCACAACATAACAGGATGACGCTGGATCTGAAAAGAATGATCAGGAGGTGAATAAATTGTTCAATAGAGGATAAAGTACAAGCTAGGTGAGGAGTATCGATGTCTAGATACAGTCAGCATGTTGCCCTAGGGGACATTTTTTTCTTGACTGTTGAAAATAGCATCAGTGCTGACTGCAGCTGGAGCCTCACTTCTTGTAAATGATTTCAATCATAACAGAATTAGTGTGACCACAGCTTCACAGTGGGTGAGGTTATGTTTGTCATTTAAAAGGCTCCTACTGAGCACCCAGTAATCCTTCACAGCTAAGTTAAGCAGGTTCGCTGGACACCTGCAGTTGTATTAACTAGCTCTATTTGTGCGTGAGTGTTTTACAGCTGCAGCGTGTTATGTAAACTGAAAGCAAACGTCTGGTTCATTCTTAAAAATGTGAGGAAGCCTCAGCCTTGGTGCCCTTGCAGTCCCTGGGACGTTGTGGTGGTGGCTCTGCGTGTGACCGCTGTTGCCTGGCCCCTTCCTGCAGAGCCCCTGGAGACCTCAGCTGGTCATACAGGCCTTCTACTCAGGGTATTATTTTTAAACTGCCTGTTCCCCACTGACTGTAAATGTTACAATCTCTTTGGAAAATGTAACTTTGCTCTGCTCCTGAGCACTGTTCAAATCTTGCCTTAGTCCTTTACCAGACTGACTGTTTGCTTTGCCTTCCAGCCACAGCTAGGAGTGAAAAGGGCAGAGGAAAGAGGCTGGGGAAGAGGGGGAGGCACTAACGCACTGCTGCTTGTGTAGCATTTAGTGTAGCACTATGCAGAGCTTAAATCACTGCACTACTATGTGTTTCCGTTGCTGTAGGTGGAGAATACAGTGAATTCCCTATCTGACCTTGCTGGTACTTTATATACAAGAGAATGAGAGATTTCCCAGCTGATACTACCACAGAAGCCTTTGGGAGACCTGCGCCATGCCCCTTAAACGTGGCAGCACCCGGGAATGGGTGCAGGCAGGTAAGCCAATGTTTCAGAGCCAGTCGCTAGCTCTTACACAGGACAGGCCCAAGTGACGTCATGAAAGCACAAACTGTTAGGATTTCTCAGTTGCTTTGGAGCAGCGTACAGATATCTGCTAGAAAGAGGATCCTAACACCATATTGTGTGTTGGAAAACATTCTGAGAGAGTGAGAAAAGGGGGGAAGGGTGAGCATGAAAGAGCAGAATAAGGCAGATGAAAAGATATATCGTTTAAAGACAAGCCAGTTTTGCCTCCTTTTATTCTTTTACATGTGGTCTTTTATATGTCTGGCCTCTTTGTCCTGCAAGTATAGCTTTGCTTATGTTTTTCCAAGCTACCCCGTGTCTTCATTTCATATTAAGAAAAAAATGTCCAAATCTTCCAAGGAATTTAGGCACTTCACACAGGATATGGGTCATTTCTGCTAAACTTACTGTAAAACAACAAAAGGAGAGAGAAAGAAAGGAGGTTTGTTTCTGCCAGGAAGAAAACTACGTGGGCTGAATCTATATGCTTTTCATTCTGTGCCTCTCCCGGGGAAGCCCATCACCATAGATCTAGGTCTAATTTTGTTTGTTTTCTTATCAAGAAGGCTGAAGAGCCTTTTAAGCTACATTGTGCTTGTTCTACCACTAGAACAGTAGTGCCCATACTACTATTGTATGGGCACTCCTTGTATTTTGAGACAAAATGATACTACAGTACAGGTCTGGGAAAAGGGAAGGGGGAAAGGGACAATAATCCCGGCTGCCAAACTGGTTTGCAGGCAGCATTCACCCTACTAAGACATTTTTTTTTTCCAATATAACTTCTGAAAGCTTACCCTTTGCATTCAGACAATTGCTTTCCTCTGTTGTCATATCTGTTGCATAGCAAGAGATTCAGTACTTCCCCAATTTATATTGGTTCTTTACAGCAGCTACGGGAAAACACAGCCTTGAAAACTAATTCCAATTCTAGAATTAAACACAACTGCTGTCTGATAAATCTCAGCCAGGGATTGCTGACAAGAGATGGAAGGCTGCTAGGCAGATTCAAAGACAAAAAGATTCAAAGAAAAATTTTAGAGAAGCAGCACAGTAAAGGGTCATATGATACTGCCTGTCTGTTATTTATTTTTCCCTTTTTCACACTCTCCAATGCACTGTGAGCGATCCTTAGTCGTGTTTGAGCAGGAACACTACTTATTCCAAAGAAGTGTCAATGATATAAACATTAGATTTTTTTAGAGTATGTTATATTATGCAAATTATTCAGGAGGGAACACCACATAAGAGGTACTCAGTTTCCTAAAAGTGGTATTAGCTTTAAAAGGAACGTGAATTGCCGTACAGAGAGAGACCTTTTAACTTTCAAACTCTGCAGATGACTTAATTTACCGCCTACAGGCACTGTAAAAAACACAGATCTGTGCTGAGAGCATACCTTTCTGCAAGAGATTCTGTGCCTCCTTTGAAGTAATTTGGTTCAGTTCCTTCTCTAAGCCTATTTTTCATGGATTTCAGTAAATGCTGGGGGGGGGGGGGTCAAAGACCATTTTGGTGTTAGGGGGGGTGCGCAAATCACATTTTGTTGTAATTCAGGTGGCATTTTGCCAAGTTAGGTGTCTCAGTCATTCACATTTACAGCTCTATAGGCCACTGATCTTGCATTTTGTGAGCAAATAGGAATCTGGTGGAGCTTTCATTAGTTTCCTGTAAGAAATGCTACTGAACAGTCTAACATATTTCAACTATCTTTAAATGCAGTTTAGCCATCAAAAACTGAAGCTGCAAATCTATAGGATTATTCTCTGGATCCTATTATTGGGAGCTAAGTCACAAATTATTTTAAAAGATCCTGGCAAAAGTAGAACAAGCCCATGTGCTTTAGATTAGCAGCAATTTACAACTAGAAACACTTTTTAAAAAAAGATCTAAAGATCTCTGCACCTTTGCTTTTTTGTGCATGTTGATTTAAAGAGAACACACACATCCCTTCCCCTAATGCATCATAATGCTACTGTGTTCATGTTCTTTTAGAGTATGTGAATGGCATTTCTGGACAGTTTTATTTTTCCTCACTGACGTTCATGTGGTTTGGTTATGTCAGACAGCAACCTTTTCTTGCTTAGAGCCTTGGCTTGCCTGATTTCTATTAAAAGCTACAGAGTTAGTGCAATTAGTTCAGGTAAGGGTTTGACTCACTCTCTCAAACTATATGCTACTATAGTCTTAACATACAGTTCCTGCTCTCATGTATCTAGAGAGGAGCTAGAGGCTGTAGCAGACTCATCCAAGTACATTTTCTACTCATTTACATCTCAGTTTTAAGCTGTTTGGGGCCTCTATCTGTTTGACTAGCACTAAAACAATAGGCTAGCTTGGTAGGGCAAGGCGCTGGACCACATTAAGATCTGATCTGTTGTCTGCAGTTATGTACTGACTTAGCAGTTAAAATTTTTTAGCCTGATCAGGTATCAGAGCCCATAAAACTGAAAACAATCAGATACTTTTTTAAAAACGTTCACAATAAAGTTTATTATGTTAATATCATTAAAAATATTATAAAATAAAATATTCTGCTTGGCAGAAAAATGATGCCAGGGCTTTAAAACCCCAGGTTTGTGCAAACAGTTTTTGTAAACATAAGTAGTCAAGTGTTCAAGTTCCATCCCAAAATACAGTAAGTTGCTACAAAAATAAGTTTGCTCATTGTCAAACATGGTTAAAAACCCAGGAAGCTGGATTTCTGTACACATCTCACTCACACACCCCTCTACAGTTAATGCTGTATTTATATCTGAAATGGGAAGGATTTCAGATAATCCTTTAAAACTGGATTGAGGGGGATCTGATTTAAATTTTCCCTTCCAAAAGTTTTCACGATGCTCTTCCGGCAGAGTTCCTGCAAGGGCTGCACACGGACTTTTCGCAGGGGGGTAACCAGTACCTTCCTGGGGGAGCTTATGTAATGTTCCAGCAGCTTAAAAAGACAGTCAAAACTCTCTTTGCTGCCATCCAGGCTGAAACGCCCAGTCTGAAAGTTTATTCGGATGCTGGTGGGCCCAGTCGCAGTCTTAACACTGATGGCAAAGAAGCAGTTCTTCTGCATGCTGTCCCTGATGAGGAAGGTGCCCTCAGGCTCTGACTTCAGCTTCTCATGGGCAGCATTGACAGTCAGCGGTCCCCAGTAGAAGCCACAGGCATCCAGCAGGGTGCTCGCCCGTGTGATGCTACTGAAATCCGCCTGCGAGCGGAAGGTTCGGAAGTGCGTGTTGCTCTGCGCCTGCACAGTGCCGGGCCGGCCGGGGCCGTGGTAGATCCGAGCCTGTGAACGATCCCGTGCTGGAGGGTCAAGTAGACATCTCGGGTCTGCTGCAACTGCATTATCTGCTGACACCTTGCTGTGCGCTACCATCCTATAGACTAGGCCAGCGGATGCGGTCTTCCATAGCGTCAGTGGCTACGGTGGGGCAGCTTTCCAGTGGCTAATCTGAAATGCCAAAGAGACACGATGTTAGATCCCCCGAGAAAAGCCACTGCAATCTCTGAATGACCAAGTCTTCCATTCACATGCATCCTGCCCATTATAAAATGATGAAATATTCATTTGCCAATTTACACTGGGCAAACAACTGCTCACTTTCTAACAAGATTAACAGTCTCTTACTATTGCAAAGTCCAAAGCTCCAAAAATATTCAGCAGGGATGATTAACAGCTGCAAGGCTAATGTGGTTTGCCTGCTATGAGCCATAGAAATGTATCAGCATCTAGACTGAGTCAAACAGCAGGAAGCCCTTATTGAGAAGTTATCTTGTACTCCAACAGATTCTCAAGTTTTTAGAAAACAAAGCAATGAGGTTTTAAGACCGAGTTGCTCCCTCTTTCCCTTCCCCCACTCCACACAGAGACATCTGAACTCAGAAAACAGCATTGTTTGGTACATTGTGTGAAAAGGAGAAAGTGGGCAAAGAAAATGTAAACCTGCAGCTGGGTGCAAGCCTCCGGATAACTGGGGAAGAGAAGGCAACATGAATAGGTGCCATTGTGCCATTAGGTGTAACTTGGAAGGGCAGCCTGTAACATTGCCAATGTACACAGCAATCCTAAAACTACTTTCCTCTCTCCTCTAAGTCTGACACTCAGCCATAAAAGGCTATTTCCCATTCCCCCAACTTTCCCTGGGGATAGTAATGCTACAACCTCACTAGCTTACACAAATCAACCTCTATGAACCCTTAAAGCATTACTCCTCTGTCTCTCTCTTTTGGTATTACATGCACTTTAAGTGGCCCAATCTAAATTGCTTCCTATTGATATATCTTTCAGCATGAGGGACTAAATTCATCCCTTGTGTTACTTCAAAGGAATTAGCAGTGCTGCACCAGGAATGAGTTTGGCCTGAAATGTCTACCTCTGACAATGTGGTTCGATACATCTCCGCTGGCTGCCTTGACCTTACTGGCAAGCATAGATTTTAGGATTTATCCCTATAGTCAGATATAGATCTGCAGCAGCAGCTTGTTGAGAAACCTTGAAGTATTCTCAGAAATGAATCCCTCAGCCATCTTACGGTTCAGGGTAACATGCTAATGTAGATTTCAAAGAAACTACATAACTGGATTCCTGTCTGCGCTAAATTAACAAGTTGACATTTGGTTTCGTTTAAGGTCATATTACCTCCTGAAGCAGCAAACAGGGTTGTATAATCCTTATGCTGGCAAATCACTTAATAGGCTGAAAGTAGCACTGGGCTTTCTTTACCCAGCAGATGGAAACTGATGTCAATTTTTCCAATTACTGGGCGAGGATTATGGTACAGCATTGAAAGTTTAAAATTGAATTTCAGGGCATGCCGGTGAGAAAAAGCCTCTAAGCCCGAGATCTAAAATTCGCAAGCGCCTTAGCACAAGCCGTCCATCACCAAAGAGACGGTTTGCTGTGCCTCTCGCAAGGGCACCCGGCAAGCGCCGCCCCG